AATCACATCACTTGCTGTGTTAATGACATGTTCCATCTTGTTTAGTGATATTGCATAGGAACTATATTTCGTCGAAACATCTCAAAACCATGCTGTCTTACTACGTAGTCATTGTTTAACTTTGTACCCAGTCACAATGGCAAATCATTCAGAATATGATCAGAATAACTTTAACTTTACCCAGGTATCTACTTAAGCAGTGCCTTCTTTAATCCGATCAAGGTTCATGCTTTTGTTACTTTGAGGCTTTATTATTGTATTTCCCCATTATTGGGCTTTTCGAATAGCAACCTGAAAAGCTGATCAGCTGATCAAAAGTTGGATGCCCATACGTCTCAGTACACAGATGAAAGCTGTCAGCTAAACTAACATTTAACCAGGTAAAATCCTTAACCTAACTTGCTTGTAACATCAGATTGTTGCACAGTACGTTGGTGATATATAAATGCATACATAAGCAGATGACACTGTCAAATATTTTCTCGTGTTTCACTCCTCTGGTATTCCTGCCAATTTCTTTCGGTGCACCACTCATGCACTTCTTCAGCCAGTGGACGTGAATCATGTCAGGGCCGGTTGATGTCCAACTTTCAGCTCATACTGATGACCCTTTCTGAGCATTGCCGTCATGGTTGCATCCTTCTCCCTTATGCTCTTCCACTATTGCTCTGTCTCCAGCTTTAGTGGCGCTGTTCTCATTTTGTTCCCCTGCCACTCAGAGTAAAAATCAGATGGCTCCGTGGAGTAGTGCTGGTTTATTCTCCTGCCTTTAATATCTCTAGTATACCTCTTCAAGTGGTTGGCCAAGGTTGTCAGTCATCTTTGCTCTTTCCAAGGCTGAGTATATAATAATAATAAATCCCCTCTTGCCCCTGCGGGTGGTCTATCCTTCAAGCTTGGGTCCTCTGGTAGACAGATCCTTTCTTATTTAATGGTTTTTATTTATTTCCATGACTATTTACATTGAAGATTTCCACCGAAGGTATCGAAACTATGAATGAACACATCTGAAATTAACAACAAACCTGTGGT